TGGTCAAAATCTATTAAAAGACACAAAGAACAAAAACAATCTGGTTCTTTTGCCAAGTCTTCAAAACTTTATGTGTTTCATGAACAAATGTCGTTTTTAAACAAAATAATAGACACAACTGTTGCTCATGAAAGCACTGATAATAATAAAAACGAAGAAAATAAATCAGACGATACTAATTATAAGGCAAACAATCAAGATGAAATTGTTGAAGTTGCAGAAAGACGTACAAGTATTCCAGAATCTGTGAGCAAAAAGAGTATTGCTACTACACAAAGAAAAAGGAAGTGCGAAATAGAGAATGAATTAGATGCGAAAATGATAAAATTTTGTTGATCATCAAATAATGCCGAAAAATGAAAACCATAACGAGAACCGTCATCTATCATTTTTTAAAAGTCTTTTACCTTCCTTGTCATTATTTAATGATGATGAAACTTTAGAATTTCAATCCGGTATTTTAAATTTGTTACAAAATCTTAAAAGAAAGAAACAAATGATATTTAACGATCCGCCACATTATTCCAAAAACAAATAGATCATTACGAATACCAAAATCCTGCTTATTACAATCAACCGCAAATAAATACAGAGCCATTACCAATGATGAGTCCAAGGGCTGAACCTGTAAAATCGCCTGCAGCATTATCCACAATATCTACTACAAGCCAAGCATCTGATTGTTTTCTTATAGATCTGGATGTACAAAATTTCTAATTTTCTGTTTTTATATTAATAAATAATTATAACTAATAACAATAAATATGATAATATCAGCGCAACCCTCGCCCTGATGAAGTGAACGACATGGCATTAAAAATGAAGAAAGACACGGCGATAACCCGCAAACCTTCTGGCATAATCGAAGAAAATACCCGTGAAAGCCTCAAAAGTGTAAATATGATAATAATTTTTGTATGATAAGTAAGATTCTATCTTATTGTGTTGTATTTTATAAGTATTTTTCTATTCCTAAAAAATCCCTCTTTATTCTATGTAAAAAAGGTATATAGAGATTTAATTGTTGCCACTTTTCCGCGATGTCTAGCTCTCACAGCGCTTCTCTTGCACATCGTGACAATGCATATCTAGGATGTTTAGTATATTTAGTACAAAATTCAATTAAAAAACTTACCTTAAACATATCGCTAACTTTTCTTCAGGATTAATGCTTTTTCTCATAGTTGTATTTTGTCTTGTCAAAAAACTTTCCACTCTGCTTAACAAGTAATCAAAAGTAGGCATAGACATCCGAAAATAATTGAAAAGTTTTATCTCATCTCTCCTCAATTGACACATAAGTATCCGATTCAATCTCAAACGAGATCTCTTACTTACAATGGGATGTATCCAATATTTTCTATTAATTTTTTTATAACGACGGCAATAGTGCCAATAAGTTATAATAAATGTATTTACATCCATCTCGGGAGAAAGCTGATGGCGAAATGGATGAGCATACGGGAGAATGGATGTACGGTGAAATTACCGTATCGTCTGAACGCGACATCCGATTCGATTCGATTTACACCGATTCGGTGAAATTACCGAAACGGTCAAAAAACCGTACCGTGTGAACGAGCTATGAGACCCCCACAAGGGAACTTCGCTTCCTTGACCCTTGACCAGGGGTGCTCCGCCCCCCCCCCTGGAGCCCCCCGCGTAGTCCCACCCTGACTTTACCACGCACGTGTAATAAAAAATAATATGTGCGACACGTACGAGTTGGCTGTTGCAAGTCGTGCGGGTGACCATTCGTCGCAACAGCCAACTTCTCGCATTTGGTGCACAATGTACTATTTTGACTCAGTTCGGTGTACTCTTGTAACTACCTAACTTTCGATTTGCACGGCGTTAGCTCGTCGGAATATTTGTCCGAGGATTCGAAAGAGGTTCGATCGTTGGGAGAGTGTCAGGCAAGTAAAGTCTCAGACAGGTGCGTATAATAACCAAACAATTCACTTTATTTAAATTCGACGAAATGGCTTATATTCTGCCGGAACGAAATATAAGAAACGGCTTAGCGCCGAGACAATCGTCAGGTATAGCGGCGTGCGTGCGTGCGTGCGTGCGTGCGTGCGTGCGTGCGTGCGTGCGTGCGTGCGTGCGTGCGTGCGTGCGTGCGTGCGTGCGTGTGTGTGTGTGTGTGTGTGTGGGTGTGTGTGTGTGCGTGCGCGCGTGCGTGCGTGTGTTGTGTGTGTACGAAGCGCAGTCGGTGCGGTGTTTATTTGGCACTGCAGAGCGGGTGTGTGCGTGTGTGTGTGTGCGTGTATGTGAATCGCAATCGGCGCGGTGGATACTGCGAGCAGTGAGTGTAAGAGCGTGAGCCGCGGGTAGGAATGCGAGGGAGCAAGTGAGAGCGAGTGAGCGGTGTTGCTCGAGACGATATTATGACGGGTCGCAGCAAAAAACGGACGGCTCACTATGCTCCCTTTTTCTTCCTCGCGGTCTCGGCTAGTGAGGCTGATCAGCTGTGCCTGGCTTATATTTAGAACTGTCAATACGGCAGTCTGTAATTCGCGACGCGTGGTTGTTCGGGCGTTATCGCGGATTCGCGTAGATGCGCTAAAACGGGCGATGACCAGCGGTCGAGAACGCTCGGCAGAGGTGGAGAACTCTCCACCCCGGGCGACTGCTGGTCGATCGCAGTGCATGATGCAGTGGTTGTTGCACGTTGCACCGAGACGGCTGCCGAGAACGCTCGGCAGAGGCAGAGCACACTCTGCCCCTCGGTTCTTGCCGTTCGGTGCACTAGGATGCCTGACTAGAGACCTGTCGAGAACTCTCGACGGAGCTAGAGTACGCTCTGGCCCGTTTTCTCGGTGTCGTATAGGCTTTCTAGGATTTCGGGATTCGTTGTCTGGAGCAGGTCGGGACAGGAATCACCTCTTTTCTCGTAACGCGGCATTTTTATACGAACGAAAATGCCGCGTTCGTGGTTTTTCGCTTTCGCTCGCGTTTTCCCGTGCTTTGCGGTGTTCGGGTCTGAGTCCCAAGAAGTGGGAATCCGCGGCGATCGCTCTACTTCGGTCTCGATCGGCGGTGCTCGGTGTTACGCGGCCGTTACTGCCGCTTTGTACCTGCGAATTATGTTTGCTATTTTATCGGGCGCTATGCGCCCTCATCACTGCATCGCAATCAGCGATGCAGCGGCGTTCGGCTGGGTGATGTTAGCCAGAACGATGGGGGATGCATCGTTACACTCTACCTGTCCTTGATAGCTGATTTACTTGATTAATGACACCCATATTGCATCTTCGCTTTTCACTCTCAATTTTTACAACAAACAGTACGCTTGGTAGCCATTATGCAAGATCCGCTACCATTTTCTCTCAATCACTCACAAGGTTGGGCGTCAGGCACGAGAGATACTCTCAGGCACTCTTCGATACTCTGTTTTATCTCTTTAAAATTTTTTCTTTGAATCTCTAAAGTTATGTTAATTGTGACGACGATAACCGGTAAGCACAGCCACGGAATTAGTAGAGGGGATGGTTCGTGTGAGTGGGGAAAGGTCGGGGAACGAAAGAGATAAGACGTAATAATTATACCCGAATTAATAAGAAAAAGAATATAATCTACGTTTAATGTACATTACAGTTAATGTGGTTACAGCGGAATGCGATCATGAATACGACTTACATTTAGAGTGACTTACAGTAACCGGACCCCGGATGTCGCTGAGTATTCTACCCGCGATAACAAATCATTTCTTTGAATTTCGGTTCGAATCCCGACGAAAATTGAGAATTTAGACTCGACGACATTACCCGGTGGGTACGGAAGCGGTAGAGCGGACAATTACACGCAATGACAAGACATGAAACGCGATGACTTGGTGGCAACGAGAGGACGGCGAGCGCTACGCGAAAATATACAAAGATTCCGAAAACGATTCGGGTGAGCCACACATAGTGTTTCTCTTATTCGCGACTCGCGGTCGCCCTCTTTATAGGCGGTATCCGATGGGCAGGTTCTCATCTCGTGCGTTTCATCAGATTTCGCGACGCGAGGGATCGGCGGCCTTATAAATTTCTGACGCTTGTCTCACCGATGTTCTCTAACTCCTCCTAGTCCCTTCAATCCTCGGTAACTTCCTCCTTTCCGAATGCCCTCGATCCTGCGCTCTCTTACAGAGAGATCTGCCCTCGGGTCACCGCACAAGTAATTCCCGAAACTTCCGCAGGGGATACGCAGGCAGCGTGGCCCGTTATGGCCGGGCCTTATCGCACCGTGATTGGCCTGCCTTCGGTTCTTGCGACCCCGCGAATAGCGTGGGCCAGCAGCAGCCGCGCGATTACTCGCGATATAGCGCGGAATCCAAATATCCGAGTGATCCGTTTTCTTTCGCATTCCGGAGGTTCTCCAGCTGCAGATTCGGCGGCTCGCAGATAATACAGTCGTTTCTTCTTGGCCCAGCGGCTGCTGCTCTTGATAGTCGGCGTTCGACTCGCAATCTCGATATCTTTCCCTATAATATCAAAGCCGGTAGAAAAGACACAATCAACGGGTGAATTGTGAAAAATAATGAAGAAGTACGACCTGTGCGTTCCCCTGCTCCTGTAGTATCTTAGGCGGTACCCTGGTCTCCGTGTCTCTCTCGGAGGTCCTTCCTCGGTCGTTATTCTTCCTCTCCTCAACCATTCGGTGAGACTCAATTACATAGTTCGTCATGTGGCCACCTAGATCGCTAATAGAGAGAGAGAACTCGCAAAACTTAGAAAAATTAAAGATAAAATAACAAAAAGAACAAAGCGGCCGCGGCGTTCCGATAATGCGCTCGCACGCAATTACGCTTGTCCTTCCGAGCTGGGAGAGAACAGGATCCATATGTTTTAATTATCGAACCAGTGACGGACGAAGAATGTCACGTCACAATATATAGGTATCAAAATCTAGTCTTAATCGTATTTGACCCTTCTTTACTTATTTGAGATTTTCACATTTTTTGTCACTTTTTTTATTACGTTTTTAATGTAAGTTTTGCTATGCAATAACAGGTTGGACGAACCAAGGTGAAAAAATTACAGAGGCTGCTCTGGTATCTGCTGCTGCAAGCTATGCACGCGGAAAGCTTCCTATAGTGTCACGTGCTCTCTACATGGTGGATCCTTTCGAATTGGCATTGGATACGATACCTTTACTGCAGAGGCCATTTATTCATCCATTTACGTCGCTAAAACGTCTTTATAGTTGGTTGGTCGAGACTTTGGGTCACAGAGGAATGTCGATCAACAGAGTTATCTTTGCGTCAAATCTACATATTCTTCTGTTACTGTTACTATACTCCTTGTTCGGTACAGAAAGTCTAATACTTTTTATACCAGTGGCTCTCTATTATTTTTCGTTTGTAGTCATGGTAGTGGCCACCTTCCAAATGCTTCAACGGAAATGTGAATTTAACGATTTCCGCGTGTGGTCAGGCCTATTTCTTAGTTATTCAAGCGGAAATCTAAATCCTGAGGAGGCAGAATATCAATTCTGCCGCAACAATCTGAAACCGTACGGACATTTCTTTCTCGCGTTGCTACTGAACTTGATGATTTATCCTCTAATAGCCCACCAATGGACTCCACAATCTGAAATCACTATAATAGCAGTCATGCTCACTCTTATCACGCTCTGTAGTTTCATGTGGAAAGACTCTTCGCGGTTTCCCGATTTCCTAGCCCTCTTCAGCTTCGGCGTGCATGTACTTGCTAAGTATCCTTACGAGACGGACATGGTAGTGGCGCAAAGCTGGAGATTCTTGGACATTAGAGTACCAACATTCGCATCTTACGTTGTCGGCAACAGTATAGAGTTTTGTCTAAATTTCCGCGCTGTATTTTACCTCTTAATACCGGCTGTTTTCGCAAAAATGGCTGCGAGGGATGGTTGGCGCGGCACATATCGGATTTTGATACCCCATTGTGTTACTCTGAGTTGGTGGCAAATAGCCATATTTAGTTCTCAAGGTGCAACATGGTACGGCTTGATAAGAGGCGCTCTCGCATTAGTTGGTATGGTCCTATTTCTTCCAATTGCCGGTATTGCTTCCATCATTTTACCGATCGTAGCTGTTGCCAAATACTTCTCAGAAAATGATTTGGCCATGAGGATAGCGATTACTATTATACTCGGAGGAATGCCATTTTTTGCTTCCTGGTATCTAAGGAAAACCAGAACATCAAGATTTAATTGGATTATTACGCTTATGCAAGTATGTATATTGTCATTTCTTTACCTTCAATTTAGATATCCTTCATGTATTTGTAATGTATATATATGTCTTACTTATATAAATGTTATTTGTTAAAATTATATGAATGTTTCTGTAGATTGTTCTTGGCGTTGGCGCTGCGACATTTTTATCGTGGTCGATGATAGTAGAATATAATCAGGATTCCGATGAGATATATGACATTGCTTCTACCTTAACATGGGATCAGTATCAGAACTACTGTCATCAACCTGCGTGGGAAGAATTATCGTCGAAGGCTCAAGTTCAGGTGCAATGTGCTCAATTGGAAAGCATTCCCATCTCATGGGAAGGCTATGTGACAAATATTAGAGTAAAATCGATAAAGAACAATGTTGCAGTTGTATTAAACAAGTTGCCTAATAATATTAGAACAATACTTAGTTGTATGTATGGAGAACCGTATGAGGAAAATTGTAATTTGAGTGATGATACTCGCAGAAAAAACTGCAAGCACATCACGAGCATTCAAAAGAAAAGGAACAAATGTTATTTTCCGTCTTGGGATCAATATGAGTTTGAAATATTTGTCAAGATGAAAAGTGGCATATGGGGAAGTACCACAGAAATTCGTCTCGTTGCGGACCATTCTTTTACCAATTTTAGTCTGAATATATATCCCGGCGATAAGATTTGGTTTACAGGCGCGCTTCTGAATAATGGCTTAGAAACAGAATCTCTTCTTGGTGGTGCTGAACTGCACATCGATTTGGAAGAAGTAGGGTGTCTTGCATGTAACTCTCTTGATTCGAAAACGTCTTATAAACGTTATAGGTATCGTATAAGTTTAAGCTCTATTATCAGAGATCTTTGTCTTAGCGTAAAGGTTGTATTGAATTTTCTGTTAAATCCAATTGTGATGTTCAAGTAATGATATTCTATACTGAATTTTTAGATCTTAGCTTTTTAAAGCCAATGTAGTAAAATTTTTTCGACATCTAATTATTACAATTTGTTTATGATTTATATATTAAAGAAAAATTAAATTACTATTAGAATTACTAGATTCTGAATAAATAAAATCTGGAAATAAAAAACGCTGAATAAATAGTTAACATATTTAAAAATACAATTTCAAACAAACGTGGTATTTATATCCTATGCAGTGTAAACTCTCTGCAATATATTTGTTGTATAGATATCTTAGAAGATGTTTCAGCAAAATTTATTAAAATTATTTTTATTTGGACGGACAATTTAATTCGATAATTATATTATTAATGTACAATAATAAATTGTTATTTCTCGCGTTACAATTGAAGATATACTGCAGTGTACAAAATGGTGTGTTATATGTAATAGCATGCTATATATGATATAAACTGAACTAAACCAGAAACAGTTATGTTATAAAACAAAGCGTTTCTTCAATATTCGATATACAGTACTGGACAAAATAAAGTACACACTCCAAACATTTTCACATTTATGCGAATATCTCGCCAGTGCTGGCAGATCGCATAATGAT